GTGTTTTCACAGTTGTTTTTGCAGTTTTAGTACTAAATTTTGTTTAAGAATTTCAACAGAGACTTTAAGAAGAGAACTATATAAAAATGATTGTTTTGTTTTCTTTCAAATGTAAGATATTTTCTTTACCTTCTTATTTTATTTATTTCTTACTTTTAGTTATGGAGATTCTCATAATATACAAAACTAGAGAGAATAATATAATGAACCTTCATAAACCCATTACTCAGTTTTAACAGTCATCAAAATTCTATAGCTTGTTTCAAGATAGGTTTGGTTTTTTAAATTTAATTTCTCTTTTTAAAATTTTTTGAAGTCCAAACCTGAGAATTAAGATAGGTTTTTAATGTAACATCTTTTTTAAAAAAACAGGCATACATAATTGATTTGCATGTTCTGAAAAGACTATATAAGGTTTATGCCTGTGTGTGTGTGTGTGTGTGTGTGTGTGTGTGTGTGTGTCTGCAATCCATTTCTATTCCATTGCAGGTTTAAATCCTTGCTGGGACAAGGTAGAGTAAATTGAAAATAATCAATTTAATTATTTACTGAATACTTAAGACACGTCAAGCATTGTGTGAACTTCTTTGAGGGAATGATACCAAGAAATGTGAAGTTAAAGCTCCTCAAAGAACTGGAAAATAAGAGAAGAAATACAGTCTTATTCCCGGCCAGGAACGAGTTGGTGAGGCCTTCACCTAGAGTAGGCTTTCCCAACATTTCTTGTCCCAAGAGCTTCTTTCACAGTATTAAGCAATCTCTTGAACCCCTGAGGAATTTAAAGAATCATTTCATCATTTGTGTGTAGTATACAAAAAAGTGTTGACATATATTTTATTTTATATGTCTATTTTATTAAAGATTGTATTGTAAAGTTTATTTAAAATAGTCATAGAATAAATTACAAATATTTAAAATGGTAATAATACATGCACATAAATTTTGGCATTTTCTCATCTAATAAATAATGCACATTATTTAAAGTATATTAATTAGGTATGGAAAAGTATTTTATGGACATATTTTTAAATGACATACTATGCTTGGTTTTAGGTAGGACTAAAAGTACACTAAAATGCTGAGTAAAACCTATACATTCAGTGGTGTTTTCCAAGCCTGGTATACCTACCTTTTATTGTATAGAGATGACATTAGGTGGAAGAAAGATGAAAATTTTTATGTTAAATGTTTATTTTTAGAGTATTAAAAATACTGGTTCTTGGCCGGGCGCAGTGGCTCACGCCTGTAATCCTAGCACTCTGGGAGGCCGAGGTGGGTGGATCACTCAAGGTCAGGAGTTCGAGACCAGCCTGAGCAAGAGCGAGACCC